GTGCTAACCACCGTGCCACCGTGCTGCCTACAATTTATACAATAGAATAAATATATTATCAAGTCTGGTTTAGTGTTAGCCAATTTTTGGTTATTTTTAATGCCAACTGCACGCGCAGACAACATCACTGGTCAGTTGTGACGCTGATTCCCTGACCACCATCGTTATGATGATGTAGGAACAACGCCAAGACGGGGATTTCAGATCATGCTACTCTCAAACATAATAGTCCATAACCCCGTAATCTCCCCCACCTTGAACCTCATGTCTATAGCACAACTCGGGACACCTCATCACTGTCCTCCTTCATCCTCTTAACATGTGACATAGACAACATAAAAATAATTTATTCCAGCCTTGTGTTAAGACAGAAGGAAGGGGAAACAACAGAACTGTATAACGTTTTAAACAGGAGAGAGATGCAGCTTGTCTTCTGTTATTTGCACTCAAAGGACACAAGCCTAGTTAGGTCTATTGGAAATTATGTTCTCAATACATTTCTCTTCATATTTTTGAAAAAATTTCATAAAATAAACTCATTTTCTGATCTTTATATAAATAATGTCAAAGAGATTTGACACCCCAGGCTCATCTTTACCCACAAGTGGAGTAAAAGGAGTTAACATCCATCTCTTTATGGTTAAAGACACACAGAGTGTTAAACAGAGTATGTGATTTTGAAACAGTTAATGATTTATAATTATAATCAGAAAATAATCAAGTATAATTCTGATAAATCTAATGAATGAAAACTTAGCGTAACAACATCCCTTACAATCACAAATCTCAGTTTTTGACATGCCTGATTTTTTGCCACCCAGATTCCAGGAGCATTGTTATGACTGTGATGACTCAGTGTGTGTGTGTGAGACAGAGAGAGCACAGTGGACAGAGTGTGTGTGCAAAAGAGTGAAATGTGACTCTGGCACATCATCATGCATGATTCTGAACAAAACAAGTGATACTGAGTATATGTGAGTCACAAACGTCGAGTCATGCAGAGAAAAAGTATTCCTGAGTTAAAAAGAGATCATGTTAGAATCATCCTACAACAACATTAAGACTGAATGAAAAGTCTATTCATTTGTGACGAATAATGAAAGTGACTGAACTTTGCTTTAAATCATGTATTTGAAAGGCTGTAGAGAGAGAGCAGCATAGACTGATGTAGCTGTCATAGATGTCTCGTGGAGATCAAGGAGGGGAGGAGATAGAAGAAGAAACGCATAAACACCCCGTGCAGACGGAATAAGCTGTTCTTCCTCTAGTTTCAGTATCAGAAGATCTGGGATTGGGAATTCACAGTTTAAGATTACAGCAAAAAAAACAACAAAAACAAAAACCGCCAGCGGATAAAGTGCAATACTGTGGACTCACAAATTGCATTTATATATTTTTGGGTCTTTTTTCTGCTTATTTTTTTGTTGGATCATAACGTCAAAGCATTTGTCTGTTTCCTGCTGGATTGCAACTTCCAAGTATTTGGCTCCCTTCCAATTTGGATTTTATCGACACGGATGATGACGGATGTATCTGAAGGACTGCACCTGACCTACAAGGCCACCCAGGCAAGCACGCCTTAAGAGGGAGCAGGATCGACATTCTGAGGACTATAAAGCTGGATAAGTCCATCCAAGCTATGCAGTGCCTACTGGATGATACTCATAGGATCAGAGACTCGGACTTTGCAAAC